CCATGGCCTTTCCTTTCTGCGCGTTGGGCATCTTCAAATACAGGTAAAAATCCAACTATAAGTTGCTTGAGATAAAAATAAGATTTTCATTGATTTAAGGAGCTGAAACAGTACACAGATACCCCCAAAGGGCCAGGAGAGTGTGCCCCAGCCCCTCGGCAAAGGAACAGCCAACATGGAGCAAATAACTGGCCCGACCTACACAACTAGAGAGCATGAAGTCCACGGTGGCTGTTTTGCTACCTTAGTGTTTTGAAATATAACAAGTAATGTACTATAGCTTATTCATTTGGCTTGATTCCAATCTTCTGTTACTACAAACCAAGCAGCAGTAAATAGCCTCATGCCTATGTTGTGTACTTCAGGATACATTCCTTGGAATGAAGACAACTGAGCCAAAGGTGAAGGCTTCTGTAATCTTACCTGCTGCTAACTGCCCCTCCAAACTCTTATTTTTCCTCACGTGGCTTTCCCTTTGTTTTCAGTAAATTTGTATAATTCCCTCCCCACTACCTATGTCCAGAGAACTATATCTGGGGGAAAGTACACAAATAGAGGCACAGCTATTTGAATGCTCACAAACTGAACACGTGTGTCTCGCTCAGGTCAAGGGACCAGCATTCCTACCACCGCAAGAGCTTCCCTGGTGCCTTCTCCCTCCCCTTGTCTGAACTTGCCATTGCTATCCTTTTTCTTCTCAGCCTGGTCTGGGGCTCCAGGGCATTGTGCCATTTGAGCCAGTGAGTCACCGTCATCAGACCCTGTTGCACAGATGCCAAGGTTGTTTGCCATGCTATTGCGCTAATCGTTCTCAATCTAGGTTCCTGTGGAACCCTGGGAGTACTGCCTCAAACAATTAGGAAAAAAGGAAAAGCAAACTTGTGAATTTGTTTCTGTCAGTTAAAAATTTATCCGAGATCCTTCAGGGCCCACTCCTACTTGTCTGATAACTAAGTTTCAGCAATGACAAAGGATCGAGAAACACAAAGTAATGGGAAGACACAGAAACACCACGGGCCACAGTGAGAATGGCGGTGGCCTCACCCATGAAGCATGTCCTTGGCAGAGGTCTTTCCTACCAAGTAGACTGGATCTTCACCAGTGTTCAAAATTTCAGCAAAATTGGTGTCCTGGAGAGTGGGAACCAGGGTTCCAAGAGGGAAGGAATTTGCTCCAGGCTCCAACTCGTGTTGAAGGACAGAAAATTTGGGGACCTCAAGCTCCTAAACAGGGCATGCATGTCCAGGGGCAGTGTACATACACCCCTGCAGGGGCATAGGCCCCAGCTTGCAAAGCTCAAGCTCAAAGATAAAGCTACAAAACTCTGAAAACTACAGCAGAGCACTGAAACAGGTGTGTGACCCATTGGAACACAGGGCTGTGAGTGACTCAATGGGCCACATGCACATGAAGCCAACCCCAACTCCAGGCTAATTAGGCCAAAGCTGCATGAACTTTGATGAGCTAGTGAGGTGCTACACTAGAAGTAGGGTCGGAGATAGAGCTAGAGGAGGACATAGATGTGTGATGAAGAGCCCTGATCTCAGGTTGAGCTTTAGACTTTATTTTCAGGACTCCAGGGAGCTCCTGAAGAATCCAGGTGGGGAAGTGCCATGTTTATAGGCCAGGAGGGAGCACACCCGAAGAGGGGCCATCAAAGGGACGAAGATCTATCTTGTTCACTCTTCTACCCATCACCCAGCCAGACCTGGACCCAGGAAGATCCTCAAGACATGACTATGATATGGATGAATGTGAACACGAAGGAATGAGGAAGTATGTGAATGGACGTGTGGACCAGGCCCTGTGAATTCGAGGCTGTGAACCAAGCGGTGCTCTGTCAAAAGGCGTCATGCTGCTACTGCTGAGGCAACACAGCTTTGCCACTGTAAATGGGAGCCATGAAGGCAATACAGATACCAAGAGGAGGGAGAATGTGGAAGGAGTGGTCAAATCCAGCAGGCGGGAGACTACCATCTCGATGATGGCTATCTCTTACCCCTCAAAGGGCCACATTTTAGCTGGCCCATAGCTGTGTCTCTGAGATATGCACACTGAGCTCGCCCATGTGGAAGTGGCTACACCAGGACAGGCACAGACCTCAGGAATGGTGTATTCTGCTTAGATGGCTCCATTAGGATCTGGCCAGTGAGGAGGACAGGTTGGTCTTGCAGGCTTTTCTAGAATGTCCCATTAACCTTTGATACAGGCAAAGGGGACACTGCCTCAACATTGTTGTGGTCAGTATGGAGACGCTCCCAGAGCTGTAGAAGGAGGCAGTTCATACTCAAGTGTCCTGGTGGTGGTGCCTGGTTGAGCTGCCTTGGATGAAACCCATTCCCTCTCTAAGCCCTGAGGTCTTTGGTGACAAGATGGAGAGATGTGATGGATTTTGCATAGAAATGTGTAGGTGCAAGTATCCTAGGGCTGGTTCCTATGAGCTGTGGTCCCCAGGAAAAACAGCTGGAGCCCAGGGCTACACTGGCTCTGCCCCCACAGGCCTTGTGTTGTCTGAAGGGCTCTGGAGCTTGTATCCTTATTGCATAGATGGGAAGCTCAGATTTAGGGAGGGCCAGGGGCTGCACTGCAGGAGCAGAGTCAGGATTGTGAACTTGCCTTGTCATAGCCTTGGGGTGACCAGGGGATAGCTGGCACCAGGGCTCTGGACTTGGGGCAGGAAACATGGGAGAAAGGCAGAGAGGACACAAGAGCAAAGGGGATGGAAGGCAGCAGGGAGGAGAAGAGAGTGAACATTCTTTTGCCAGCCAGTTTTGGCTTCTGCTTCCTGCAGACTGACAGGCTGGCCTGGGTACAATTGACCCTGATGTGATCACATGATCCAGCTGTGGCCAATAACTGGCGAGGAGGCACTGCTATGCTGGAGCCTCCAGGCACAGGAGCTCCCTGGCTGGGGCTACTGAGTGGGAGGAGCTCCCTGGCTGGGGCTACTGAGTGGGAGGAGCTCCCTGGCTGGGGCTACTGAGTGGGAGGACACGGACCTAGGCTGCTGGAGCCAAAGGATCAGGATGAAATAACGCAGGCAAGGAAAGACCACAATGGGAAGAAGGACATCATCTTAGTGCCAACAGCTGACCATGCCTGAATCCTCCCTTACACTTTTCAGTTACTTGAACTAATCCATTCCTTCAGATAGAATTGCTACTTGGGGAGTCCTCAGGAAAGGGAAGGAAGTAAGGAGGTGGGATGAATATCTCAGGAGGTGTCTAAGGTAACTCAGGTCACCTTCCTGGCTTTTTTAGAAACTACAGTACAGCCAGAGGTTTGGGCCTTCACCTCGGGCTTGCAACTTTGCTGCCTCTTCTCAGCATGCAGCCAGCCTAGAAGCACTGTAGTAGAAAAATGAAAGCCGCAGATGCAAACCTGAATGCCTTTCTCCCCTCGTTCGTTTTCTTTGCAGCCAACATTATTAGGCACTTGCTTTGTATCAGGCTCTGTTGAGTTCACGTGATGGTCTCATCTTCCTTGCTGCAGCAAGGACAGAGAGCAGCACCATTTCCACTTTATAGGTGGACACCTGAGGCCTTGAGAGGCTAAGCTGCGGCCTAAGGTCTGGCTCTAAAGCCCTGCCCATGTCGCCATGCTGCACATAGTATGTGCTAAGGAAAGGTCTTCTGGGAAAATACTGTGTGAGGCAACTGTAGTTTTCTGGGCAGCAGAAAGCCTGAAGGGTCACCTTGGTATATTCCCTCTCCTGCCTGGAAGGCTACTATCAGCAGCAATGTCATGAGCCTGGACAAGAAAGGCTCGAGGGAGGTCTGTGCTGGGGCTGCTCAAGGTGTGAGGGGACCCAGGGCTGGGGGTAGTTGGTCGTGAGGCCCAAAAGTGTCCCACTGCCTTCTGGCTGTAGGGCAGGCGGGGCCTGGCTACTACTGGTATTGGCCAGTAGCAGGCCTAGGGGGCCTCATCAGGCTGAGGAAGGGACATATGACAAGTGGGTGGCAGTGTGGCTGGGACTCCTTTCTGACCCCAGCCTCTGGGAAGCTCATGAACAGCTCCTGACATTGGTCCACTCCCCCCGCAGACCCAGTGCAGCCCCACAGGGTACTGAGGCTAGGAAAGGCCAAGGGCTCCAGCTTGGGGCCAGGGTATCTGGACCCAGGTGCTGTTGTCCTGTCCAGGGGTCCCTGGACTTGAGCCTGGGTTACCTGGAGTTCCAGGGAGCCCTGGTAGCTACCACAGGGGCAGAAATATGGCTCCTGAGCCAGAGCAGCCCTGCAAGGCCCAGCACATGGACAGACAGGGATTTGGTTCTAGACCTTCCTCAGGTGTATTCTGACCTAAGACCCTTTCAGTTGCATCAGAGGCTGTGGCATGGCTGTGTTCCTTAAAGCCAAGATGGGTGAGTATGGTTGGTTGAAAGTGGGGTCTTTTTTTTTTTTTTTTTTTGACAATGGGACTTTTTTTAAGGGCCTCTACATCCTTCAGTAGGAAAAAAAAAAAAAAAGGGATCCATTTTCAAATAGATTTGGAGAAAGCTACCCACTCTAATGTGATTTTGTGGACAGCCCCAGAATATGTGGCCTCATTAAAGCTCTGACAAGTCCTGCAGTTAAGACTGCCTGTTGTCTTTGATTTCACCTGTTGTCTCTCATTTGGCCACAGGCATTATAAAGAGGCACTGTGCTTGTTACAGTGGAGCCCACAGTGGGGTATGCTGGGGGTAGACGAATCCCTCTCAGCGTCCACAGCACTGGAGGAACCAGGTCTGATGCCAGGCTTGGGAGCCTGGGAGCAGTGGAGTGGAGGGGAAAGAGTGGTTGCTGCGAGGGGTAGTGCAACCCCTTCCAGCCCAGAAAAAGCAAGGAGATTTCAAGGCTGGGAAAGTATGGAATGGGACATTGTCCTCCCTGCAAGTCAGGGAGTCTGGCCTGCCTGGGTCAGCTTTGTGTGTTCAGATCCCCTCCCCCAAGACCAGCAGTCACACTGGGAGTCAGGGATTCCTTCTGGGAGCCAAGTTTAGTTAGCAGCTCATTCAGGCATGGAGACCCTCCCTGTGGAGGGAGGCCCAGGAGGAGGCATGAGGGAGCGAGGTCAGGGGGCAGGCACTGCGAGCAAGGCACCCCAGGACTCTCAAGGTCTTCAGGAAGAGCACAGCTCGAGCCCAAGTTCCTGTGCCACTGTTACCAATATCCCCAAAGACCAGATGGACCGGGAGTGGACTTCCTGTGTTCCTGATAAAACCGTATGAGGTTGCTTTGTTTTAAAAACAGAATCCACTTATTTCTGAGGACCTGAACTTCCAGCACTGGTCAGCCAGCTACCTGCCCACCCATCCAGGGGAGCAGGGAGGCAGGTGACTCTTCCAGACGTGGGGCAGGGCAGGCCGGCTCACACATCCCCGGATGTCAGGATGAGCCTTAGGTGCTGTGTTCTGTGCTGAATCCTGGGTGTTGGGTGGCAAAGCCCAGCTCCTGCACGGCCCAGCTCCTGCACAGCACAGGCTAGCTGAGCAAGGGCCGCATCATCATGCGGGAGGCACGAAGTGAGTATGTGGTGCCCCGGAAGAAGTTCCAGCGGATGCCATTCATCTTGTGCAAGTGCTGCCCGGCCGGGTAGTAGATGCCATTGAGGTTGGAGCCGCCACAGGCATCAAACCACCACCCTGTGGAAAGGGGATAAGGACCAATCAGGGCTGCTGTTGCTTTGGTACTGCTGCTGGGGAGGAGGGTGGAGCACCAACAGACCCTCTGCTCAAGAAGGGCCTCCAAAGGACAGCAGAGGGTTCTGGCCACCCCTCCAGGCCCCTCTGCACCTCTTTCCTTCACGATCCCTCTGTGTCTGTGTCCCTTCCTCAGTGAGCTCTGGTCTTTCTGGCTCCCTCAGGTCTCTGTGTCACCTCCTGTGGGTACGTGGTGGCCTGTGTCTCTGCATGAGTCATTCTCTCTTGATGGTCTTTGTAGGTGTGTTCCACTGTGTGCCTCCCTCTGGCTGAGGTTCTTCCTGTTGCCTGGCTGTCTCTGCTCTAGGTCTCGCCTATGGTTTGTCTCCATGAAAAGTCCTCTCCTGGTGGTGCCCAGGACTGCACTTCCTCTCCAGCCCTCCCTTCGCCTGCTCTGCTCTCCTTCCTATCAGCCTCTGCCTCTCTCTACCCCATCTGTCCTTGTCTCTGTGACTTAGCTTCTCCTCTGTCCTTCCTACTCTGTCTCTGACTTACCCCATCTCCCATTCTCTGACCTCTGTGTCATCCCAGGAGTTGGTGGGAGCTGTCCCTTGGCTACGTTCTGACCTTGGGGCTAGGAGGAGGGATGACCTTAAGGGGACTTTAGGACCCTGGTGTGGAAGATACCGCTGACCCTAACTTACCTCCAGACATTATCGCCGCGCAGTTGCAGCCACAGTTGTCATGGTCTGCGTCACGGGTGCTGAAGCTGTTGTTCCACAGGATCACCTGGCCCAGTTCCTGCATTATGCCGCTGTACCCATTCACAAAAATCCTGATGGCCGCCCAATGGTGGGGATGGGAGAGAAGCACAGTAAGGTGGGGGCCGTGTTGCAGAGGGGCCTCCACTGGGGACAGTGTCCCGGCTAGGGCCTGGCTCCTATTGTGCTAGGTGGACCTCAGCCTGGCCATTTTCTTCCAGATCCTCCTCTTTCTGCTGCTCTGCATGGACAGAGCACCTACTGTGCTGGGCCCTCCTCAACTCATTGACTGGGTCTTGAAGCCGAGTCACAGTGACCAAAATGAGGACAATGGCTGACAGTTTTAGAGTCCCTTGAAGAGGGCAGGCACTGTCCAAAGCCCTTTGCAGGGGTCAACTTATTCTTATCTCAGCCTCACAATGCCCTGCCCACAGGAGGAAATAGGATCCCAAGAGCACAAGAGCCTGGCACAATCTCAGGACCAAGGAGAGTCACAGTCAGATTCTGCCCCACTGTGGCCTGACTGGGGACCCACATGCATTTGTTCACCTGCTCACCATCCTGCACCCTGGCCCTGTGATACCCTCTCATGTCCACTTGCCTCTTCCAGGAAGCTGTCGCTGACCACAGCAGCTCAAGCTGATCTGCAGCCAGTCCTGGCCCCAGCCCTGTGACCTGCACATCAGGGGGCAGCACCGCCCCCGGGGGCAGGGGGGTTATGTGCCTTGGCCAGAATGTGTGGTCCTGGCAGGCAAAGCCACGGCTGCCCCAAGCTGATGGCCATCAGCTTGGATTCAGACCCCAGCTCCACCACTCGGAGGCTGCATGGCCCTGGGAAGGCTGCATCTCCTCTCCGAGCCTCCATTTCTGCATCTGTGCACTCAGCAACCACAGAAACACTGACAGTGACCTTGTTTCTTGTGTGGTTTGGTGACTCCAGCATGTAGAATGTACAGGGCACACTTATTGTTCAGTTACCTGACCCCTGGCGCATGGCCGAGCCTGGCTGGGAGACTGCAGGGAGGGGCTGCGCCTGGCACAGGGGTAGGAGATGGTTGGGAGCAGTTAATGTCCCAGAGGTGGGCAGAAGTGAATGGACCACAGATATGGTCCATTCCTTCCAGGGAAGCTCAAGGAAGCCCTGTCCCTAGGGCAGGGCCTCGAGGATGCCCATGGTGCAACCCAAAGGAATGTAAGCATGGTGTGAAATGAGGCCTAGTCTAGGCTACCTAGTCTGTCACTTTAGCCAGATGAGTTAGGTTCAGTGTGTGAGAGTCAGCAGTCCCCTTAAGAGGAGTTAATGTGGTGTCGGAACACAGTGGATGCTCAGAAAACACTTTTTCTTCCTTAAACACACCAAAAACCAGACTGGAAGGAGTAGGGAAATGTGAAGATTTGGAAGTGTCCTCATTTGGGCACAGAGCTTCAGGGCCACTTGACCTGGATTTGCCCAGTGAGAGCTGCCACATAGCCAGAAAGAATCCAGGCTCCTATCTCCCATCCTAAGGACACCTCTACCTCAGCCAGGAGCACAGCACAGCCTGGGCAACTCACTTCTTGTTTCTGGATTTCTGTGAATGACTGATCCGGGGTATTTGCCCTGGGATGGCCCCTTCCTGCTCTGGGATGGTGGCATCAGTGACATACTCTCCACCCAGTGGTCAAGATGTACTGAGTGCTCACCAGCCACCTCTAGATCTCTGACGTGGACCCACAAAAGAAACAGATGGTATAAAGTAGAGACACCCTGGGACTGACCTTTGGTGCAGACTGTAGGCTCTAACCTTGGAACCCAGCCCACGCACCAGGGACCCCAGCCCACCCACCACCTGGGCCCCAAGCCCACTTGTAATATTCCTCCTTGCTGCCCAGCTGGAAATGCTTGAAGTTTTCTTGGCTTGTGCTGCCACCCCAGTCTTCCAGCTCCACACGCAGAGAGTAGATGGTGCTGCTGGAGAGTTGGTGCACCGCCTCATTGCCCAGCCAGTACTCCCCAGCTGGGTCTCCGAAGCCCTGTGGGGTTGAGGGAGGACAGGGTGCACTGAGTGCCCAGGAGGGTCCTGGGCCAGGCTCTGAGGCCAAATCCCAAACTACTGGGTCATGGTCTCTGTGGAGAGTCTGGGTTAGCAGATCTCGCCTCCCAGAAAAAGGACCAATACATTTGTAAGTGTAAAAGCCTGTTAAAAGCAATTGCATTTCTCCAAAGTTTAGGAACAGGCAAAACTGAACTGTGGCTATTGAAACAAGAATATAAAAATATTGAGAGGGCTGTTGACTGAGAGGAGTCATGGGCAAGTTCTAGGATGCGGGAAGGTTTGTATGACCAGCTTTCGAGGTTCTGGGGTGAGCACTTCTGTGAAGTTTACTGAGCCTTACACTTAACATTTGTGTACTTAACTGCATGACTATTATACTTCAGTTAAAAAAAGAATTTTTAGGGCCACAGAGATAGCTCAGCAGTCTAAGCACCTGCCTAGTTAAGCACAAGGACCGAGGTCCATCCTGGGTACCACAAGCTGTGCCAGTCCCACCCCAGGTTTGCTGAGCCAGCCACCAAGACTTGGCATGGACAGGGCAGGCATTGCCAAAGTTTAGCAATATGAAAGTGTATGAAAAGCTAAGAACACATACAGTGTCTTGTTACCAGTGTCTAGGAGCAAGGAACTGAAGCTTTGGGTAGAACAGTAATGGAGCACTAAAGCCCTGCTCCGCATTTACAAGATGAGGTGCCATTTACTAAGTGTTGACATCCAGCTGTCCTTTGTGTATTTCTACATCTGAACTACCTATTTTTCTTTAGGTTTTTAATGCTGTTTTAAAAAAACTCATTTGATTCAAGAACAGCCATCACTTAATAAAATAAAGTATTTGTATTCATGAACTGGAACAGAAAAGACAGAATTAATAGTATTACTCTATGGTCCTGTGGGCATCTTTCCTATTTGCTTTGCTTTTGAAAAGGTTAAGTCCATTTAAGCTACCTTGTTAAAAAATCATTTAATTTTTAAAAATTGGAAGGCTTCTGGGTATAGTGCATGCCTGTAATCCCAGCACTTGGGAGGCTGAGGCAGGACAGCTGCTGCAAGTTCGAGGCCAGCCTGGGCTACATAGTGAGTTTAAGACCAGCCTCCACTACATAGCAAGACCCTGCCACAAACAAACAAACATTGGAAGGCAATCAGGAAGTATATCTCATCTTTAAAAAGGCATGAGGTCTTCAAGCCATCAATTTTAAATTACAGAATTTGTCCTGCAAATGTGGTCACAGAGGTATAAAAGGAAAAATAAATTTGTTTAAGCAACATATCCAGGGATGTAGGTGATTTTTTTTTTTTTTTTGGTTATTTCTTTGTATTCCTTGTTTATCTTCTTTTTTGTTTTTAGAAAAAAAAAAAAACACCTTAGCGATGTATGTCTTTTTTAAAAAAGCAAAACAAAGCTCAAGTTTCACTTCTAAGATGTATGTCACAAACTGCAAAAATAGGTTCACTTTCAGGGTAAAGGGTCCTGGGAAGATCGTGGACTCTGGGCAGATCCATTTGAAGGTAGATGGCTTAAGTGGGTTGATTTCTTTCTCTGTGAATTTATTAGGGTGAACTAGCTCCCCTCCTTCTGCGAACACCCAGCACCAGCACCAGGCTTCAGAGCCGCACAGCCCCGCCCCAGGGCAGCAGAGTCACCTGCTTGTAGTCCTCCCAGTTCCGGTTGAAATTCACTTTGCCATTCTCTCGACGCTGGATGACGGTCCAGGCTCCTCCATCGGGGTCCATCACACAGAACACCTGCGGACAGGGGAGCAGCTGAAATGCCTTGGACACAATCAGAAGCCACATCCAGGGCAGCACAAGGATCACTTGGCTCATGGATCCCCATGTCCTGCAGAGTAAAGCTGGTCGAGTTCATCAGAAGATGCTAGGCTCCATCTTTGCTCCCACTGTCATTGCTTAACATGACGGCCAGTGATACCTTCCCGCAGCCGCCTGCTCCTCACTTGTAAAATGGGGGTGCTCACATGATGACCTCTTCATAACTTTCTCCTCATTACTATGAGAGTTAAATGAGGTGGGTCCTGTGAATGTTTAAAAGAGGGCCCAGCACATACCAGGAGAGAAGTAAATGGAAGCTTCCCACTCCTTAATAAGGCAGGTTGCTGGAAGGATTAAACATGGATGGCCAGCTCTCACCCCTCGAATGCTGTTCCCAACTTACACTTCCCTGAATTCTACCAGACCTCCCTTTCCTAAATTTACAAAGCGTATTTTCTTTAGCATATGTGTCCTGAGCCAGGTGTGCTCGCATACACCTGTGATCCCAGCACTTGAATGGCAGGGCAGGAGCATCACCATGAGCCCCCTGGGCTACAAAATGAGGCACTTTAAAAAAATAACCCCCAAAACAAGCCACAAAACTAAACAAAAAGCAAAACCAAAAAAATGGTGTCCTTTCTTATACTTAAGGAAATCTAAACATATTTTACCAGGAAGTCCTACCAGTACTATAAAAGAAAAGCAATTGTGCCTTTATTTACATGATATAAAAATAAACATAGTGAAAAAAAAATATTATGAGATTGTAGTTAGAAAGTTTTGCTAACCCAGAGCCCTCAGCTGATCTCTTTGTCAAAAGGGTCATTTAGCACATGTGTGAGAAAGAGGAAAGACACTCTGGAGACAAATGGGCCCTCTTCTTGACACTCAGGCCAGAAGGAAAGCGCAAAGGGAATAGGGAGCATGACCGCTGGGCAGTTGCTCCCTTTTCCTGTCAGCCCCAAGCCCTACCTCACACCCACCTCTTGTCCACCACCTGATTACCACCTTTGGAGCCAGTCACTGAAGGTTTCCCAGCCTCTAGTCCTGCATAGAACAGAAGGAAAGCCCCTTTTTGCTGAGGCCCAGGAGTTTCAGGGTTTATACGCTCTATTGGAGAGCATAACCTTAATCAGCACAAAGCTATTTCCTGGTATTCCAATGAGAGGTCACTCTGGCTGGTGGCACTTACACGTCCATGTATTCTGCCTTGTCCCAAGGCCTGACACCTGCCTGGAGGGCACCCTGCTTCAGTGGCATCTCAGATACTGGGCAAAGCTCGATTCTGATGGTGGCCGGTTCATCTCACAAGTCCTTGGCTCAGTGCCCACTCAGACCCACAGTCTCCACATGCTAGCACCCTCCTCACCCTCTTGGGCACGTCCAGATTGGGTACGTGGATGGTGTAGACACCATCCTGATTGACTCCAGACCTACGGATGTCCTCACAGTCCCGGAATACTTCCTCAGCTGCATCTGTGGAGACAGCAATGGGGTAAAGCAAAAGTCATGTGGAGTTATCCAGGAGAGGAAAGGGACAGGGTGGGCTCCCTGCCTCCTGTTCTCCTGTGTGCAGGATGTGGTGAGGAGGCACAGGGATGGAAGATGAGCCAGACCTGGGCAGGTCTCCTAGTGGAGGTGATCCCGAGCTGGCCCCAAGTAGGAGTTCCTGGGTAGAGAAGACCTGGTGGTCTGGGCAGAGGGAAGTGTGGTAAGGGCTCTGATGTGGGTGGTCTGTTGTGAGCAGGGCATGAAGGTGTGGGAGGTGGCCAATTTACACCACTAGTGTGGCCTCTTAGCCAGAGTGTGCGCTGGCTGCTTGAGGTAGTGTGAAGCTGACAGAGACAGGGCAAGGAAGGAAGAGAGCTGGGAGGAGGTTGTTTCAGCAGGGATAACTGGCTTCATGCGCCAGGCTGTGGAGTCCAGGCTCCTGTGCCCAGCAAGAGCACTGATGTCAGCATGGTGCTGGGGGGCGGAGCCATGAAGCAACAGGCCAGACAGAGGCACTAGGCTCCTTAGGAGAGGGGTGGGGAAGAGCCTTCTTCCAACAAGGTGCTTCCCTTTCCACAGAGCAGGAGGCAGAGGTGGGGAAACAGCCATCCTTTCTTGGAGGTTCTAAGGTGGGGGAGCCTGGATTCTTCCTCCTGCCCACCTTGTACTCTGGCTCTACCTGCAGCCCTGGACACAGGGCCCTCATTTGTCCTCCCGGGGACCTCACCCCTGGCCTTCAGAGCCCACATTTGTTCCCTCTCATTTTGTTTCAGAGCTCAAGATAGTGCTGATTCAATGCCTGCAACCTAGCAGGGCCCATGGGCTGCTAGAAAAGTGAGTGTTGGCAAATGAACTGCATGCATTTGGAGCCCTCCCTGTAACTCATTTAGTAGGGATGCGGGCTGTGATCATACCACAACCCAAACTCTGTGTAGGTTGATACTCAAGCGTGGGCTAAGGGTTCAGATGCGTGGGGCTCATTATCAAGGGGGAACCAGAAGACTCTCTTGCAGAGGGGTTCCTGTTTGAGCTTCACACCTGACTGTGGCTCCCAGATCCTACATCCAGGGCAGCTGTCTGAAGCGGGCTGCTGTGCCCACTCCACCAGTGAGAACACCAGGCCCTATATCCACCAATGAAATGTGCATGCCATTTCCCAGACAGGGGTCGCCCTGCCCCCTTTGCAGCAGCTCCCAGCTCTCACAGTACATGGGGGCAGGAGTTCAGAGAGGCAGTGGGAAGCTTCTGGCCCAGAGCTGATGAGGGACAGGCCATGCTCGCTCTGGCAAGGCAAGGGCTGAGCTGGGAGCAGGCTTGAGACCTCTTGCCACTCTTTTCATGGGAAATTTCCTTCGTCAACAACAGTAACAATAACAGTGAAATAACCACCACTGTTGTACTGCAGAGTCCTTAGGTGCCCATTTGTGTTTAGGATAATGCCTGGAAAGTGGGTGGGACATAAAGGTAGAGTGAATGACCTGTATGTAGGTCACCCCTGCCTGCCCCTCTCTGAGTCTCTGGGCTGGCAATCCACACCCAGTGAGCCCCCTTTGGCCACAGGCACCTTGCTAAGCACCTTGCTGTGCATCGCCTCATCTCATCCCCTGGGCCAAAGTTTGTGATATTATGAGTTTTGTGAGATTATCATCCCTTTTTCACAGGTGATGAAGATTGAGGGTCTGAGAAATTAAATAAGTACACAAAGCTCCAGATGTGGCAAGTGACCCAGTCAGTACTGGACTCTACCAAGAGGCTGTGCCCTTCCTGCCACCCCGTCCTTGGCTCTGCACCTGGGGATAAAGTCTTCATCAGAGGAAAAGCACCTCCCAAGTGTTCTTCCTGGCAAGAGTGTAGGGTATGTGGACATAGGATGCCCATGGTGAAGGGCTGACACAACCTCTTAGCCAATCAGGTGAGCAGACTGTCGGCTGCACTGCAGACTGGCTTAGCCCTGAGCCTATGGGGAGAGGAGACCCTGCTCCATGCTCAGATCCCACACAAGGCTCTTGTCCTGCAGTCCTGCTGTCAGGGCCACATACAGGCCCCCAGCTGGTCACTCCACAGCTTGTGAGCTGGAAGGCATCGAAGTCCTCTTCAAGCCTGGTGGACTTAGAATGGAGCCACAGTGTGGTCCTTAGCTCAAGTCCCTGTCAGCCATGGAGCCAGGAGTCCCATCACTCTTGCTGCATTCCTTGTTCTTGAAGGCTTCCTAGGCCCCCCATGGCCGTCAGCAGCCAGATGAGCCCCTCTCTTGTCTCCTCCCCCAAGGCATTCTCTACTCAGAGGGCAAACATGTCCCAGCTATGCCCCCTCTGGTTCCAGGTTAAAGTTCCTCTCCTCACCATGGTCCTGCTGTGGGGGCTTCAGGAACACTGCTAGCAGAGCATCTGGCACATAATAGGCCCTCAACAAAGTGTTTCCTCTTCCCTCTTAGCCCCACAAAGCTGGCTGAGTAAGTTGCAAGAGACAGGCCAGGCTGTGTGCACTGCTGGATCCCTCATACCCAGCACTAGGCCTGGCACCCAGGGGGTGAGGAGCCGGTGTTTGTTGAACTGTGGGCCCTCAAGGGGGCTACAGTAGGAATTTCAGGGTCCCCTTTCTTTCTGAATAAAAACCCAGACAAGAGGAAATGCCACTTGAAAGACATGGCCTTCTATCATACAATTTCTCACTAATAGCAGCAAGAGTGTGCTTCTTCTGTTAAACAGAACAAACATTTAACTCTCATGTGTCTCATGGGAAATAAGGAGCTAACTGCTTTTTCACTTGTCATAATTACTGTTTTTACAAGTCCCTGAGGAACTGTGGTTCTTCCTCAGTCTCTGAGGATAGGCGACTTCTCAAAGGCTGCAGTAACTGCTGACTGAGATTGTGTGAAATACGATCTGTCTGCACATAATAGTCTTATCCATTCCTTATCCATTCCTTGCAGAGTAAGAGGCAAGGGTGCACGTTGCTTGTCTTAGCCAAGCAGATCTGCAAGTGGGGGCAGAGCTTGGGCTGGGCATACCTGGCTTCCCGCTCACCTCTGCTGCCATCTGCTAGTACCCAAGCTTACTCTTCTACTTCCTCTGAGCATTGGACAGCTCCTTCTGTAAAGTGGACAAAGGCTGCTCATCTGGAGGAGCTGCAGGCGGAAAGGACAAGCTCCCAGGAAAGGGCAATTGGGTGTCACGACCCCCTGACCTTCGGCTGTCCTTACCAGTACTAGGAGGCTGGCTCCCATCCTCTGCTGTCCATCCGCCTGCTCAGCACTCTCCAGAGCCTGAAGGAGACCTGCCTTGGCTTCCCTCTGAACATTCCCACTCTTGCTTCTGAGTGCTGAGGAGCAGGCCAAGCACTGCGCTCACCTCTCAGCTGGGGCAGAGAGGGCACCTGTCTTCCCTCTGGTCCTCTTGGGGTGGGGACTTCACAGAGAGAAGTTTTATTCTATGGGTGCACTAAGTTCCACAGTACCATTCTATGGGGAAACTGAGTGCCAGGGAGGGTAGGGCAAGTACAAGCAATTGGGACCAAAGCACAGATCCTAGAACTCAAATTTGTCAGCTAGGTTACTGCTGTTCTTGTTAACACTGTCACCTCCATTGAACATATGGGGTAACTGAGGCCATGAGTGGAGTAGGGTGGGGCTGATCCTGGCACCTGTGGAGTCAGGAGATAGAGTCTGGATTGACTCCTTTTGAGTCCATTGTTCTGGCCGTTACTATTACTGCTTGCTGTTATTTCTATGTCCAATGGGCCAGGAGGGCATAGCTTTTCTCAGGCTGGGTCCCAGCCCAGAGTGCTGCTGGATGCCAAGTACAGCTCCTTCCTGGCTCCCACCCTCCTCCCCAGTCTCCTCCTGTCTGGCACACCCCGGTTGCTCACCTGGGCCCTGCTCCACCAGCTGCATGAGGCGCTGCAGGTTCTCCAGGAGCTGGACCTGCTTCTGCCACAGCTGACTGGAGTTGTTGCTGGAAGCATACAGACTTTGCTGGATGCCAGCAAGGGTGTTGCTCTGGTGGCTCAACAGCCGGTACAGCTGCTCCTTCTCAACCTGGAGTCCTGCCAGCTGGGTTTGTTGCTCAGCCTCCAGGTCATGCAGCTGAGTCTCCAGATCACTGCAAGGTGGGGTGCAAAAGGGTGAGCCCACTGTCCAATTCCTCATTCACAGTCTCACAGAGAAGTCCAGAGAGGGGGGTCACACATGCCTACACCCTTACAGGAAGGTCAAGGGTATGGGGCCACACATCCCATGGTTCATGTCCATAGTAGGCAGGGGACTACAATGGGAGTGGTCTGAACTGGGTCCACTGCAATGCAGAAATCAGGCAGCTGCAACACCAGCACCTGGGTAGCCTAGTTCCAGATCCCTAGTGATTGAGGGACAAGGATGAAAGGGAGATGTGTTATTCTACATCCAGTTTTGCAGACCCTTCCTCAGACTTGGAACTAAATCCAGCCAAGGCACAAGTAACTGCCTCTAGGCCCCAAATTACAATTACAAATTTTGAGGGCCAGCCAGATAGCTCAGCAGATTAGAGCACCTGCTTAGGCAGAGCAAAGGGGCTGGGGTTTGATCCTGGGCATTACAAGCCATGGTGGTCCCACCCCCAGGGTACACAGAGAAGGGCAATTGAGACTGGGCATGGTAGTGTGTGCCTGTAATTCCAGTACTTGTGATGCTGAAAACAGGAGGATCACTACAACTCCGATCTACATGGTGAGACCCCATAGACACTGTACTAAACACACTAAAAAAATTATAAATTTTGCACACACTGAATTCTAGAATTCTAGCTTTCTTCATGGACCAATGACTTATTAATAATGCTTTTCATTTCCATGTATTTTTATAGAGCTGTCTAATTCAGAGTGATAGAAAATTATCCAGTTCTTGCCATCTGGAACTTAGGGTGGGAAATAAGAATAAGAACCTCTACATTTCTTTTTTTTTTCTTTTTCTTTTTTTTTTTTTTTGTACCAGGGATCAAACTCGAGGCCTTTAGCTTACTAGGCAGGGACTTATGCCATTGAGCTATCTCCCTGGACCATAGAACCTCTACTAACTGTACCCAGGTCAGAGAGAGAGATTAGAACTTATAGCTGTGCCCTGAACCCAAGCAAAAGCATTTTGCCCTCTTGACAGGGTTGAAATTCAGGCCTTAGCAGTTTTTCCTCTGCTCAGCTATAAACAAACCAAGGTAAAATCTGCCTAGGGTATCAGATTTCTCTGTCTTATGGGTACCTCTAGGCTACCTTGATGTATATTTGCGTATAGTGAAGGAACTTTGACTATGGATTAGAACATGTCCTCAGGGAAGGGGAACAGGCAGATAGATTAATCAGGTTTAGTTATTTGTAAGCCAGTAAAGCAAATTAAAATATACAAGATGAATCATATGGTGTGTAAACTATGCCTCCATAAAGCAGTTAAAATTTTATAAACAGGAAGACAGTAGAACAGGAGAAAGAATCAAAGTGTCTGAGCTCAAGAACATGCCCCTTCTCTGTCCCTGCTCAGTGCTGGGGGCTGTGGTGTAGAGCCGCCTTGGTTCTCAGCTCATGCCCAGCCCAGCCGTAGTGCCCTCCTCTCCCCAGCTCCTTAAGATTGTGAGTCTGGCTCTAGTCTTACCAGCCTTGGCCCAGTCACAGATTCAGCCCCACCTCCCTCCCACACTGGTCCCTCACCTCTGTCCCATCCCAGACACTGGTCCAGATGCAGCTGCCAGCCCCAATCCCACCCCAGCTTTAGCCTGAGTTCTGAGCTCAAGCCCTGTCTCGATCCAATCCCTTGCAGGACTGTGTGCCAGCAGGACCCACCTGTTGCGGCCATGCAGCTGGCGCAGTGTGTGGTTCTGCTCCTGCACCTGCTTTCCCAGCATCTCAGTTGTTTGCATCATCTCCAGCATCTTTTTCTCCATGTTCACTGTCTGGTTCAGGACCTGTCCCAGGGGGCAGGAGGGTGGGGGGCTCTATTCACTCTGCAGGAGCCTGCCAGCTGCCACCCACCTGTCCACAGGCCTATCACTCCTGACATTTGCTGACCAAGGGCCACCCTCCAAATGGTTAGTCCCTGTGGTCACTTGAACACACGTCCTACCCAACTGCATGATCTGCTTTCTGCTTTTCCCATCACTGCATGTGACAGTGACCCAACATCTGTTCCATCAACAAGTGCTATCAGTCACGCCTACCAAAAGGTCCTGGCCACTTCCCTCCAAGGCCCCCAGTGTGGCACTGGTCTCTGTTGTCTCTTACCTACTGTCCTGTACTGGTCTCCTCACACAGCTGACTGATCTACTCTTGTCCCTCTGGTTAATTCCCTACTTAGAAAACAGAGGCATCCTCTTCAAATACAACCCCTTTGCTCACAATCCCCTGTTGCTCCTGCAGACACCAGGAGATGGAGAAACCAAAGGTACCTGGGACAAGGACCTGAGTAAACTGAGATAAGCCCTGGGAAAATTGGAACAGAGGGGAAAGAGGCTCACTGAAGTGCACCCCACAAAGCTAGAGGGCAGGGAAAATCTGTTCTCCTGACACCAGCTAAAAGTAGCAACCACCTTGTTTCAAATGACAGGGGCCTGGGTAAACTGAACTATTCTCTGGGAAGCTAGGATGCAAGGGAATTCTGTTCTTAGGTCAGAGGCCTACCTAAAAACAGGAACCACATTGCTTCTTTTTTTTCATGTCTGCCAAATACCACTAAAATTTGTACATAAACCCCTCAATGTGGATGCCTCCTTGACATCCTCATTTGGAGTTCCTTTCAGCTACCAAGAGCTTTTCTTTGTCATTTCCATTATAGCTCATACCTCAGTAGCCTCCCCAAGCCCTCAGGTACTCATCAGTGAGACTTTTCAGAGGTGGCTGGATCTAGCTAGGGTGTGTGAATATGGATTTTGGGTATGTGTAACTGGATTAGTCCACTGATTGGTTTAGCATAATTCTGAATGTAGCTAAATGGATTTCCTGAAGAGAGAAGGGCCACCCTGGGTGTGAGTGACATCAATCAGTAGGCTTGCAGCCAGAATGCAATAAAGATGGAGAGGGAAGCTCATTGATGCTACTTTCTGCCTCTTGCCTGCCTGCCTACCCTGCCATGGACTGTTTTTCCTCTGCCTTGCCCATCTTCCACACAATCCTGCCTTGCCACCAGCCAACTATGGACTGAAACCTCTACCAGCTGTTAGCTACAATAAACTTTTCCTTCTCTAACCTGTGGGTATTGTATAGTTTGTCCCAACAATGAGAAACCAGACACTCTCTAATATCTCTATTTTTGGTTCATTCCTCACTTCTGTGTCCAGTGTCTCCATCCTCTGTAGTTCTTAGAATGAGAGCCCAAAGAAAGTTGGCAACATCTTTGGTGCCCAAAGTGAAGTGTGCTTCTTAATGGAAAAGTAAGGGTAGCAGAAGGACTGGATCTCACTTTCTTTTTGTGTCCTCTCTTGCATTCTAGGAAATGATTGGTACCCTGTCACCAGTTAAAAGCTACTGAAAGCTTGGGCAGCTGCTACGCTTGGAACAGTGGACAGGTTCCCTAGTAACTGCCTGGTTAATCCCCTGATGAAACCCTGGGGACAGTGGGAGCGCTGATAAGGCAGGAAGTTGGATTCCCCTGTAAGGCAGACCTCTGGATGCGAGACACTGAGGAAAGCTAGTGTGTAATTACAAGGCTAAGGTTGGGGCTGCTCTCCAGTGGGTGGGTATTCCTCTAGTGGAAACCAGGTTCCCACAGCACGGTACCAGTTCCTCTGGTGTCCAGCAGAGGAACTTCCATTTGTCTGTCATGTCCAGCCTGCTCTTTTCTGTGAGACAAGAGGCAAACTCTCAATGGTCCAGGTAGCCCCTTTCCTGGGTGGCCTGAGACACCCGCTGTGAGAACTCTTTCATATCTCTCCATTGAGAGTTGAGCTGTGAGTCTGGGCTTTTCTCTCTGCTGGTGTAATGGGCACCCTCTTCTTCAGGTGTGTCTTGGTAGATTTAGTGGTCTGGGAGCAGGTTAGATTCCTAGCTCACAGTTGAGGCTCCCTCAGTGCTGATTCCTCTGGTGTCTGGCCCTTTCCCTAGCTTTCATGGAGCTAGTACCTGGAAGACCTTGCCCTGGCCTCCCTGGGGAAGGTATCTAACAATCAGGGTTGAGGTTGAAGAAGAGTCTCTCATGCCTTGGTCCTGTTACAATACACAGGAGATTAGGTCTACTCTGGTCTGGCATTCCTCCCACTGCTCATGGTGGGACTAATTTCTCAGCTCACCTCACAGGCCCCTACCTACTTAGTCAGTTGCCAAGTGGGCTTGCCTCTTAAGTTCTAGTCATGTAGCCTGCTGCAGGGATCAATATAGATTCAGGGCGCTCTTGCTCTTTGCCACCACCATGAAAGGTTGCTTTCTGCTCTGTGCTGCTCTGCGTTGGACCCAGCTGAGTATGGACTGAAACCTCCAGTAACTATTCACAGGTTGGGGGCATGAAGCAACAGGAAGAAAACATGTCTCAGAGGCTTTAAAGTCCTAGCCCAGGTCCACAGCAGGAAGGAGCTGAGCACAGCAGCCA